CGCACGTCGCTGCTTTACGTAGCGCACGTCGCTGCTATACGTAACTTACGTAAGGCTGTTATACGTAACTTACGTAAAGCTGCTACACGTAAACTACGTAAAGCTGCTATACGTAAACTACGTAAGGCTGCTACACGTCACTTACGTAAGGCTGCTATTGTGGTGGAGTTGGGGGTCTGTATTTGTTTTGTCTATGTATATAATACTGATGTTAAGCACTTTTGTCACGTGGGTGCGCTGCATGCTCTAGCCTTGCTAAGCACGTGGTTAAGTCACGTGCAAGCTTTTATATAAACGAGTAGTTGGTTCTTCCTTGAACTAGCATAATATTACATATAATTAGGCTGCTCCATGGGGTGGGGGCCCCATGGGGTTTTCCTCCCTATTCCCCCCATAAGGTCTTGGCCGATAAGGGACTTTTTTTTTAAACTTTATAAAGAGGATTTTTTTAAGTCAAATTCCTTACGAAAGATGAGGAAACCTTATAAGTTTAAAGTAAGACAGCTAAAAATAATATATATAAGGCCGCTAAAAATAAAACAAATTTACGAATATTTACTAATTTTACTTAATTATTATATTTATTTATTATATTTATTAATTATATATGTTATATTTTACAATTACATTGCATTACATTATAATAAACTAAAATTATTAAACAAAACTTTTAATCATGATTTCCCGCAATTTCTTAACTAACGCTATATCTTTATTTTGAATCGTTACTCGTTTAGCGTAAATAGCATATAAGTTCGTTATTAAAAGTGATTAGTAAATCGATTAGTAAATAAATATATAAATATTTACTTTCAAACTCTTTTACGAAGAATGCTTTTAAAGCTTCTTATAAACATTCTAAAGCACCGCTTTGAAATTTAAAGTCTTGTTTAAAATCGTAAGTGATCTTTCGAATAAGACGCTAAAAGGAAGTCTTTTTAATAAAAAGCTCGGTGCCTTTTTAGTATCGTCGGATCTCTTTTAACGCAATAGCTATATAAATTAGTAATTGTATTTAAGAATCAATTTATTAATTGATTGAACTTACTTATTAGCTTGTAGCGACGGCGCTTTCGTTAGCTTAAACTTTTTTTTTTCGCAATAATTGCAGACTTCTTAAGATACTTGCTTTTTTTAGATTTTTGACGAAAAGAAGTTTTAGCTGCCGAAAGTGATTTGCTAGCTAATAGAACGGAGCGAGCAGCTTTAGCCGTCGAGAATGATTTTTTAGCTCTTTTATATTAAAAGAGAAGAATATCATTTTCATTTGAGTTTTCTTTATTATCGCTTTGCTTTTCTTCATTTGTATCATTATAAAGTATCGTCTTCGTCGCGGTTTTTATAGCTATAGTTGGGCTCGAGATAATAAAAGACCTTTTAAAAGCTTTTTGCGCGAAAGCTTTTTTAATACGATTGCTAATAAAAGCAAAAAAAAGTTTAGCAGCTGTAAAAGAATTGTTTTTAGCACTTAAATCGTAAGACGGATCTTCGTTTTAAAGCTGAGCTAATGCACTCGCTTAGCTCGTCGATTATTATATTGCTTTTAAAGCAATTTTAAAACAATTAGCGAACGAAAGAAAAAGGTTTAAAAAAATTAAACTTATTAAAAGCTGTTAGTACTTATGCTAGTATTGTTAAGAACGATGCTTTTATTTATTTCGGATTGAATAGCCGAAGTAAATCTAACTGCGTTTGCTAAAAAAAATTTGATTAATAAATATTTATTAATTATAAGTCAAAAACATTACCGGATCGAAGTCTAAAAGATAATAAGTGCTAGTTTATATTTGCGCGAGAGTTTGTTAGTATTTAAAAAGCGTCACTTAAAATAATAGAAATTAGCAATTATTAATTAATAAAGTAATTAATACTTACTAGCTTGACCTTAAGAAATTCGGCGAAAAAAGGACGGAGATAAATCGGTTTTTTATTATAGATTTGCAATACCGCGCGGAGTTTTAAGAATTTCTATAAATGCTTATCAGCTATTTGCAATTGATTTACTAATTAATTTACTAATCAAATACTAACCGGATAGCTATCGAGTTGTAATAACGCGGCGCTTAACAAAAGTAAGGTTAAGAATTTCTATAAATGCTTATCAGTTATTTGCAATTGATTTACTAATCAATTTATTAATCAAATACTAACCGGATAGCTATCGAGTTGTAATAGCGCGGCGCTTAGCAAAAGTAAGGTCTAGCGCATCCGTAGCTAATTGAGCTTTGCTAAACTAAAGATAAGGATTTGCGCTAAGCAAAGTAACTGAAAAAGTATTAGTAGTACTTCGATTAATTAAATATAAACTTACTTTATTTACCTTGCAAATTTAAGTTTTCTTCTTCTACGCTTTCGCCGCGTATTGTATCTGCTTTACTTTTTTATACTTCGTCCTCATCTGCTTGACTTTCAGCCGCTTGACCTTCAGCCGCTTGACCTTCAGCCGCTTGACCTTTAGCCGCCTGACCTTCAGCCGCTTGACCCTTAATCGCTTGATTCTTAATTGCTTTATCAATTAACTTATCTTGGCTTGCGTCATCTCTTTTAACTATAGTGCTTGGTATATCGGTAAAAAGAGGTCGGTCCGAAAGCAAAGGTTCGTTTAGTAAAAAGGCTATTTAAAAGTATTAATAAAAGGACCTGATCGCGATAATCTAGTTTACGATCAATAAGTTGATAATTTTAAACAAGAAAAGGACGACCTTATAAAGCAATGAATAGCGTTGTATTTAAAGGCGTAGCAAATAAGAAAGCGATAGTTGTAATTGATTATTAAGTAATAATAAAAAGAAATCAAACTTTATTTTATAAAGTAAAAATTACGCGAAGCGGCCGCCTTATCTTAGCTGCGGCCGCCTTATCTTAGCTGCGGCTGCTTTATCACCTCGTGAATTCATTAGCGGCCGCGCTAAAATGTTTTAAAAATAGAATATACGAGTTCACTTTTAATTTTAATACTTTTATTCTATTACTTTTGATTTTACTTTAAACAATTACTTTTAACGTTTAGCTTCTTTATAATACTATTTAATATAGCCGCTTATCAGCTTGATTCGATAAAAAGTATTATTGCAAATACAGATCAGCTTGATTTAATAAAAAGAATTGGAAAATCTGTAATAAAAATCATTTTTTTATTTACTAATTTATTTACTAATCAAAAACGTTTTTCTTAAAATGCGGCCGATACGACGGCAATCGTAGCGGCAAGTAATCCGGTGTTAAGAAACCTTAGCAAACGCAAAGTAAATATCTTTTTTACGTAGTATTCTAACTTTTATTAATTTATTAATTTTTCTTAAAAAAGAAAGCTAAAGAGAAGCTAATTATCAATTAATCTTTATACGATAAAGGCTAATGCTCGTATAGCAAAGCTGAAACAAGATCTTTAAGCAGATGAGCTTCGAAAAGCTAAAAGACGAGATCAAGCGGCCGCTAATCAGCTTTCTGCAATTTAAAAATAAACCTTAGAATATTCTTAAGTATTAAAAGCTGAAAGAAAGGAAAACTCGATAAGCCGAAATGCGAAAGAATCTTATAGATGAACGGTACTTTTTCTTTTCTTTAATTTATTAAGCAATTTACTAATCGATTTTAAAAAGAATCGAAGCATCTACGCGGATAATCTTGCTATGCAAGCCGCTTTTTTTACAGCTAGATTCAATAATAAAAAATACTTAAATAGCGATTAAGTTAATAAAGCATTCAATTTAAACGAAAAGGTTTATAAAGAATTTAATTTGCGAAAAAACGAAAAAAAAATAGTAATATACCTCGCGATAGATACGTTTCGATTACCGATAAAAAGATAAAAAAGGTCACTCGGCAATTAATACATCAGCACGCATAAGTAAGCTTCTATTTCATTTAAATATTTATATTTTGCTAATAATATAAAGTCACGCTATATAATAACCGTTTAGCAATTTCGTCGCTATTAGCAAAGTGTAGCGCGGTCTTTGTTAATGAAGTGCCGAGCTGTTAATTTAAAGAGTAAAGAAGCTTTTCTTAAATTAATAGCTTAAGACTTAGCAAGCACGGTTTCAAAACGAATTAAGTAAGAATTCATTTTATTATGCTTTTAATCAATTGAATTAATATTATAACTTTTAGTCTTTATCTAATCAAGCTTCTTTACGTCTACTTTTCCTTTAATGAAAAGAAGTATTAGCGAGCTAAAATTAAAACAAATACCGATAAGATTAA